GGTTTGATTCCCCACTCCTCCACTTGTACCTGCTGGATGGCCATAGTTCTGTCATAGGTGTTCTTGAAAAAGGGCAGTTTCTGGCAGAGCTCTTTCAGCCCCACCTACTTCACAGGGTGTCTGTTGTGAGGAGGGGAAGGGAAAGGAGTTTGCAAGCCACTGTGAGACTCCTTTGGGTAGTGAAGGGTGGTGTATAAATCCAATCTCCTCTTCTCCTTCTTCATTAAATGCCCTTTGACAGAGGCAGTAAACCTCTGAAACTCGGCTCTAGGAGACATCAGAGGAAGACCTTGGCTTTCCGCGACCTGTTCATTGTCCCATCAGAGTAATAGGTTAGCTGCTGTATAAAAGAACATGCTGCATGATATGGGCCTCTGGTCTGAACCAGCAGGGCTCATATGTTCTCTGTACACCTTTTCCAACAGTATGTTCTAAAAAAATCCCCTGGATTATGGAAGTAGATGCCTACAGTGCTCACTGCTGATTGGCCAGCTCCCGGTGATGTTACCAGGGAATCTTCACCGTAAGAACATAAGAACATAAGAGACGCCAATGTTGGATCAGGCCAAAGGCCCATCCAGTCCAACACTCTGTCACACAGTGGCCAAAAATCCACCAGCACTCCCAATGAAGCTTCCTTATTTAGAAGTATGAATAAACAAATCCGTAAATGGTCACATGGCTGTGTGAAAAAAATATGTGAAACCGTGACAGACAGCCCGTCAGAAGCATGATGGGTATGTGCCAGGGTGATGACAGCTCTGCCAGTTCTGCCTTTGGTGCGTGCATCTGTCGTCCTGATGGATGTGCCGTGGACTCTCTTTTTCTTTCAAGTCTGTCTTTGTTCTGAAATACGCTGTTAATAAAAGTAATAAACAAACATGACTGAGTAAACAGCATTGGCAAGATTCAGCAAGGAAAACAGAAATAATTGGATCGTGAGGTTTATTTGAAATATTTATATTGGGCCTTTATTAAACAGTATATTGAAGGTGGCTTCTAACAGGCGGGGGTTCAAACAATAAAACCCAATTCTTGAAAAAGCTTTGAGGGCCTTCTAGCCTGTGTTGTGTGTGTGTGCCACCAGCACTCCCAATGAAGCTTCCTTATTTAGAAGCATGAATAAACGAATCCGTAAATGGTCACATGGCTGTGTGAAAAAAATATGTAAAACAGTGACAGACAGCCCGTTAGAAGCATGATGGGTATGTGCCAGGGTGACGACAGCTCTGCCAGTTCTGCCGTTGGTGCGTGCATCTGTCGTCTTGATGGATGTGCCGTGGACTCTCTTTTTGTTTCAAGTCTGTCTTTGTTCTGAAATACGCTGTTAATAAAAGTAATAAACAAACATGACTGAGTAAACAGCATCGGCAAGATTCGGCAAGGAAAACAGAAATAATTGGATCATGAGGTTTATTTGTTTGAAATATTTATATTGGGCCTTTATTAAACCGTATATTGAAGGTGGCTTCTAACAGGCGGGGGTTCAGACAATAAAACCCTATTCTTGAAAAAGCTTTGAGGGCCTTCTAGCCTGTGTTGTGTGTGTGTGTGTGTGTGTGTGTCAAGTCTCAAGACATGCCAAATTAAGAGTCCAAATCTGCAAGCTGCTTTGGAGAAGGGTTGTGTGTTCGTGTGTGCACACTTACTCGCCAGAACCTAGGGTTGCCAACATCGGGTTGGGAAATTCCTAGAGATTTTGGGGGCGGGGGGCAGGACCTATGTTTGGGTCTAATGTCATGGAGTCCACCCTCCAAAAGTGCCATTTTCTTCATGGGAACTGATTTCTATAATCTAGATATCAGTTGTAATTCTGGGAGAGTTCCAGGCCCCAGCTGGAAGTTGGGAACCCTATCAAGAAGAAGAAGAGATTGGATTTATACCCCACCCTTTACTACCCGAAGGAGTCTCAGAGCGGGTCTAGAATCTCCTTTCCCTTCCCCAGAACAAACACCCTGTGAGGTAGGCGGGGCTTGGAGAGTCCTTCAAGAACTGCCCTTGAGAGAACAGCTCCGAGAGAACTTGTGACTGACCCAATGTTATACCAGTAGCTGCATGTGGAGGAGCGGGAATCAAACCCAGTACTCCCAGATTAGAGTCCATGCTCCTAAGCACTACACCAAACTGGCTCTTGAATCTGGCTTCAGAATAACTGACTAATTAGCACTGAGTTCTCCTGCTGTTGCCCCCGTCTTATTTCCTTGTCTCTCTTTCAGGAAATTGTCACCATTGTGGTCTTCGGAGTGGAGTACTTTGTGAGAATCTGGGCTGCCGGCTGCTGCTGCCGATATCGGGGTTGGAGAGGAAGGTTAAAATTCGCCCGCAAGCCATTTTGCGTCATTGGTAAGCTCTGTCTTCTTGGCCGGTTGGTTTGTGCTAGTTGCGTTTAACCTGAGTACTCATTCAGGAGACCTCCTGAACATGAACAGAACAGGGTTGGTGCCCCCCCTCCCTGTGTGTCCCCCTCAGCAAGAGTTCTGTTGATTTAGTTTTAGCAACATCAGAAGAGCCCTGCTGGATCAGACCAGTGGTCCATCTAGTCAAGCTTCCTGTCTCATCCAATGGCCAACCAGTTCCTCTGGAGGTCCAGCAACAGGGCACAGAGGCTGAGGCCTTCAGAAGAACATCAGAAGAGCTCTGCTGATTAACACCAATGGTCCATCCGGTCCAGCATCCTGTCTCTCACACAGTGGCCAACCAGTTCCTCTGGAGGGCCAACAACAGGGCACAGCGGCCGAGGCCTTCCCCCGAGGCCGCCTCCTGGCTCTGGGATTCAGAGGCTTAGTGCCTCTGAACGTGGACTTTCCCCTCACCCACCATGGCTAGTAGCTGTTGATAGACTTATTCTCCATAAATCTAATTCCACATTTTAATCACTCTCAAACGTTTCTGTCCTGCTTCTCTATGCACCCAACTCAGGGACCCTAAGGGCGTGAACACTGAAATATTTCAAAGATTTCACATTTCAGATATCAAAACAATCCAAACTTTAAAACAGTGTTTAAAATAGAGACATACATATATCCATTATACACACAAACACCCACACGGTAATACTGGTAAAGGCAGTCCTGCAAGTAGAACAGGCTAGGACTGTCCTAGCTGCGGGACTGCCTCTATCAGTATGAACCCCCCTCACCTCCTTAGACCATCCTCACAGGGCCTTCTATAGGTGTCTGGCCCAGGCCTGTAGCTATAGTGGCACATTTTGGGGCCCGGCCCCCTGACTTCCTGCCAAGCCCCCCTGACTTCCATCCAGCCCCCTGGCTCTCTGGGTCACCCACCCGGAGGACTCCCCACCACCGCCCCTTCCCTAAGCGTGGCTCGCTTCCCCATGTAGGCAAGCAGAGTGCGAACGCCGCAAAAGTGAGTTTTTAAATTTTTATTTTTATTTTGTTTTTTATTTTGTGATGTCAGTGCCCCCCGAATTACAAAATCCTGGGTACAGGCCTGGTCTGGCCCGTGAATTGCCCATTTGTCAACCACCAGGGCAAGGGCATTTTCAGTGGTGGCCCCTTGTCTCTGGAATCAGCTCCTGGGGAGGTTACTGCCCTTCCAGTTTTCCTTAGGGCATGTAAGGCTGCTTTGTTTTGTGTGGTCTTTGGGTCACGTAACATAACGAACTGGGGGAGCTGGCCAGTTGTTTCAGTTTCTCCCGAGTAATTTGTTGTTGAGTTGATGTTTTGATTGGTTTGATTGCTCTATTTATTGCATTTATTTATTGCGTTGTGTTTGTATTTATTGTATTTTTTAAAATGTTGTAAGTTGCCCCGAGGCCCCTATGGGAAGAGGGGTATAAATTAAATATATAAATAAAGAAGAAGGCGTGGTCTAGTGTTGGAGGAGATTTTTTACAGAAACCTTGGATGGTCAAAAGGACAAATTTGGGGGTTCTAGATCAAATCAAGTCTGAACTCTCCCTAGAAGCTGAAATGTCTCAACTGAGGCTATCGTACTTTGGTCACATCATGAGAAGACAGGAGTCACTGGAAAAGACTGTGATGACAGGGAAAGTGGAAGGCAGCAGGAAAAGAGGAAGGCCCAACAGGAGATGGATTAACTCCATCCAGGAAGCCCTCCATTTGCAAGACTCAAGCAAGGCTGTTCTAGTTTCAAGTTCAAGTTTAGTTTATTGTCTTAGCCATTGGCCATAACAACACAAAATAAATCAAAGCACAACCAACAGTATACATCAGTAACGTACAGTAAGTCCTATACCCAGTCTTATCTTTTTCGCCGCCAGTGCAAACAAAGCCATTCTGCTAGTAACATGTGCATCAGTATCAGAGAGCAAGAAAACGGTCAAATCCTGCTCTGAAATTCCATTATACCGAGGTACAATAGGATAAATAAACCTTTGCCTAAGTGATTCGTGCCATGAACATCTCAGAATGTTATGCGCGACATCATCCACTTCACCCATACCACAGAGGCATATTCTGGAGGTGGCAGGGACACCGCGGCCAATACAAACCATTGAGGGTACGATGTGGAACCTTAGGGCAGTAAAAGCCCTTCTCAGCTCCAGAGTACTTAGTTTCTCAAGATATACAGTCCTGCAATGATCTCTTTTAAAGATCTTATACAAGGGGGCTGTACGGCAACTTACCACCACAGGTCAGTTCAAAAGCCCATCCTTATTAAAGCAAGGCTGTTAATGATAGGATGTTTGGGGGGTCATTAATTCATTGGGTCGCCATAAGTCAGAAGCGACTTGACGGCACTCAGCAATCGCTCAGAGTTGCAACCATCAGTCCAAGCATGTACAGCTGAAAGTTCAATGCTCCCTCTAAGCTGTGGAGTCTTGTGAGCAAAAATTAAACTTTGTGAACGACTGGCATTAAAGCTGTGAGCGAGCGATTTGGCCGCTGCAGAAATCAGTTTGCTTTTGGAGCCCTCCTTCCTGAGCGGAGACAAAAATGTGTCAGCCGGAGGCTAAAAAGCTGTGAGCTGGCTCACGCTGACTCAGCTTAGAGGGAACACTGGTACGAACCCCCTTTTTATTCAGGTGCTTTCCCCTGGTTTCGTTTCTAAAGTGCACATGCATTGGCCCTTTCTTAAAAACATTGGCCTTTTCTTACAAACAGATCTATGCACATATGTGCAGGATATACATGTGTTCATTGTAACATGT